AGCCACAGCCCCTCAGCATCCTTTATCTGGGAGGTGTGGTTGTTACTAGTGACACTACAGTATTGGTATCCTTTATGACCACCTCCCCCTCTTCCACGGCCTCTTTTATTTTTACTGTGCTTAAGTCCAGCCGTGTTGGCCCTAGAGCGAGGGCACTCCCTTTTAAAGTGACCTTGTATGCCACAGTCAAAGCAGGTGGGAAGGGTATTAATCCTTTCACTTGTGTTCTGGCGCCTTCTCTGAGGCCTAGGTCTGTGATATGCCTCCTTCATTTCTTGTTGTTCCTCATCTCTGCATCTTAAATCTTCCTCAATAAAGCGGCCAGAAAAGTATTCTATATTTCTTTGTTCCCTAGAAACCCCTTCTAGAGAAATAATAAAGGGACTCCAGGATTTGTCTAGGGAGTTTAACATCACACTAAAGTGGATTCAGAAACAGGCTCCCCCCTCTGTATAAGCTCATCCCTCATGGCTTTAAGCGTTGCCAAATGTTCCCCCATTTTGACACCAGGTTTGAGTTTATAGTTGTGGAAAATTCTTGACAATCTGCTGGTTGCAGCCATATTGTCACTATGGAACAAATTATATAGGGCAGTCCAAACTTCCTGAGCTGTGAGGCCATCTGAAAGACTGGCATACAGAGCTGTGTCTATAGAACTTAACAGGGTTGTGTAAGCTCTTTTATGCAGGAACTCATTTTCAGGGCTCCAAGATAAAGGGGGTGGTCTTTTGATCATGTCCAGAGTATTTTCTCTTAAGAGAATTATCTGAATCTGTTTACACCATTTTTTAAAATTCTGACCACTTAAATGTAATTTTTCAAAATTATTTGGCAAAGTTACAAAATTATTGCCATTAAACTGCATGGGGAGTTGTTCAAATGGCTGAAAAGAGCCTGTTGTGAATGGCATTGGGATCCCTAAGCCTGGGATCGACTGCTTAGGTTTGGCTCCTTTTTGTAGTCCTTCTGTAGTTTGAAGCAACTGGGCACGTGCAGGAAATGGAGCATGCTCCAAAGCCTTTTCTTGTTGGAGCTCCGATCTCCCTCTCTGAGCTCTGAAGTCAGGTCTGGCTGGAGCCTCAGAATAGGCCCGGACATCAGCGATGTGGCGGGGAAACCTTGGAGGAGTGGGAAGAAGGCCTGGAGATCTTTCTGGAGACTGGAGGCCCATCAGATGAGGTCCATGGGCTGGGTAGGCCTGGAAATGTCTCTGGATCTCCTCTTCTCCATCAGAGGAGCAGGATTGCGGCTCCGGATCATCCCAGCAGGGCCGGAAAGGTGCGGAGGCCTCAGCCTGGGCCTCCCTGGAGCATTCAGTGAGTGGTGAGCGCCTCTGCAGTGGGGGGTGGGAGGCTGCAGGTCCATCTGGGTTCCTCCGGGGGTGGGAGGTTGGATTTGGGGCCCTCCTTGAGTGGGCAGCTGGGTCTGGGGCCTCGGGGGGGACCAGTGGGTGGTTGCTCCATAAGTTGGAGGGCAGCGACCAGGGCCTCTATGGCCTCTTTGATGTTTGCCGTGGCAGGCAGGGCCTGGCAAGGGGCTTGTGGGTTCGGAGTGGTCCTCTGGGCCGCTGGAAGGCTGAACTGACTGGCTGGCGTTGTAGGCCTGGGCTGCGGGGCTGGGGATGGCCTGGCTCGTGGTGCTGGCAGAGTGCCCAGGGGAGCAGCCATCTTGGAGGAAGTTGCCTCCGGAAGTGGCCTGGTGGCCATTTTGTTTGGCGGGAAACTGGGTGGGGGGGCAGTCTCTCTGGCGGCAGGCGCCATCTTGGAGAAATCAGGCAGGGGAGTCCTTACCGGGATGGCAGGCATCTCTGGTGCTGCCTCCTCAGGCCTCTTTCTGGCTGCTGCCCTTGTCTTCAGGAGGGAGGCCAGCGCTGCTCGGCACTCCTCTTCTGACATCTCAGCCACTTGCCTGTCCAGGCTTTCATCCGGTCCTTCTGCCCCCTCTTCGTCAGTGCTGAAGAAGCCTTCTCCAACATTGCCTGGCTCGGCCCCTGGGATCTCTTGCTGCATCTGGGTGGCCTCTGGCTGCCAGGGTGTAGCTGGATGGAAATCCCCTTCGATGTTTTCCATCAGCAATTCAGACTGGGGCTGCTGTGAAGTTCTCCTCCGTTGAAGGCCTCTGGTCACAACAGGGGAGCTTCTCTCACAGGTTATTTTGGAGGGCATCTCGCCTTTTCAACAGCTCCTGGAGTGGAGTTCTGCTACCATTCCCTCTGCTACCATTCTGTGGAAATTGGGATCGTAGAATCACCCAGGAGCATAGAAGAGTCCAAAGGCAGATGCATGAATAAATGTGATAAATGTATTTATTCATATAACAAAACATATTAACTATATACAAAGGCTGTCTTAATATCCATTAGGATAGGGGGCACACAGCGTGTGTGACTACCCCTATCAAAGATCATGTCTCATGGAGAACAAACGTAAAAGAGAGCATGGTGGAAAGGTTAGAGGGGGTTTTATACTCAGTGTAAGCCCCTCCTCTCCACATAAGGGTGGGGGCACTTTCTGCCTCCACTAGTGTCTGTATGATATATGTGCCAATGGCTTGCAAATACTTGACACAAGCAATTCTGGAAGATTATGGAAAGTTCATGCTTACAGTAAAAATGCAACTGTCCCTTTCAAACAATCAAATGTCTCCATGTGTGTGTGTGTGAGAGAGAGAGAGAGAGAGAGGGAGGGAGGGAGAGAGGGAGGGAGAGGGGGAGAGAGAGGGGGGAGGGAGAGAAATGGTGGAGGGGAACCGGGTAAGGGGACTGAGCCTCCCCCGCCCAGAAGCAATGTAATGAGAATTGCAAGCAATTCTGGAAGATTGTGGGAAGCAGGTGCTTACGATAGAAACAAAGTGCAGACTATCCCTTTCAAGTAATCAAATGTCTGTGTGTGTGAGAGAGAGAGAGAGAAAGAGAGAAAGAGAAATGGCAGAGAGGAAACCCTTCCAAACAGCATTGCCTGCATTTGTCATTACTCCCCTCTGCTCTCTCTCTCTCTCTCTCTCTCTCTCTCTCTCCCTCTCTTTCTCTCTCTCTCTCTCTCTCTCTCTCTCTCTCTCTCTCTCTCTCTCTCTCTCTCTCTCTCTCACACACACACACACACACACACACACACACACTTGATTGCTTGAAAGGGACAGGCTGCACTTTGCTTCTACCATAAACACACACTTCCCACAATCTTCCAGAATTGCCTGTAATTCTCGTTACTGTGAGAGGCTGCATGTTGCAAAGAAGAACAAAGAAGAATGAAGCAAGGCAGTGTACAAAGGGTGTACAAAGCAAGGCAGAGCTGCCTCATGTACCCCGCCCCAGCTTATCTGAGGGCCCTTCAGCCAGGCCATCCATACCAAACCCTCATCCCGCAGCCACATCCCTTCACTAACCAGCTTTCCAACTCCATTCTTCACCGCATGCAGGGCAACAAAAGTAGTCAGTGGGACTATGGTAAAAAAAATGGTTCAGACTTTCCAACTTCTCACAAAAAAAAAAAAGAACTTGTGCCTTGCTTCATCCTCCACCCCCCACTGCCTCACTACATTCTTCTTCATTCTTCTTCATTCTTCACCACTTCTTCTTCTTGCTCACCGCTGTAATGGAGCAGGAGGCTGAGCAATGCACTGGTGCGGCAGCCACAAAGCAAGTTGGTGGGGATGGAGGATGAAGCAAGGCAGGGGATGCAGAGCTTCCCCCCATGCCCACACCGGCTTACTTGAGCACCCCACAGCCAGTCCATCAACATCCTGACAATTACCTTGTCTTGAGGCGGCTCCAGGAGCCTCGTCCAAGACCCCATGTGAGTCCCTCAGCCTCCTACTCTGTTGCGGTAGTGAGCAAGGAGAAGCGGACTGGTGGCCATGCAGGACTCTGCAAGGCTCATTTTGCTGGTGGAGTCACTTGTGGCAAAATGCCGTGCAGCTTGCTGCGAGGCTCGTGTCTGGACACCGTGTGGTGCGTTGTACCATAGCATATCCGAGCATCTCCAGCAGTGTGATGAGCATCACCATGAGTGGCGATGAGGTAAGCAAGTGCAGGGAGTGTGGGGCACCTCCACCCCAACCCCACCCTAACTTGATTTTTACACCTGCACCTCGCCCCACCTCATACAGCCAGACAGTGGGCAGATAGTGGGCAGGGCTTAACTAGGCCTTATTTTTGGGGTAGTGTTTATATTAGGCACAAGCATGAAAATTGGGCTTGTTTTTGGGTAGGTTGTATTTTTGGGGAAACACAGTATGGGAAGATATTATTTTTAACCAAAGTAGTACAGAAATTAGCTAAATTGCTTATATTTATCTCTAGGGAAGGGGAAATCATCTTTATATACCTTTTCTTCTGTTTTCCTTTATTTTTTCTTTTTCAATTTCTTATATTTTTCTTAATTTGTTTTAATTTTTTTCTTTTCATTTGTAAATTTTAATTCAAATATTTTTTTTAAAAAAGGTATGATCATATATCTACCACATTTGTTGTGATGGCCGTTCATTGTTTTTGCTGAAGATGTTAATACTCCTGATCATCCCAGAACAACCATTTTCCACCAATGATGAAATTTGGTTGAGTTCCAGGTGACCTCAAAACAACATATGTTTTCATTATTGTTATTATATGTGGAATCTTGTTAAGGCTCCAAAATTCAGTTTAAACAACTAACATTCTTGTAATACATTTTTTCTTACTTAACCTTATTGCAGTCATTAACAAGCACAAGATAATTGATATTCAAAAATTCAAACCATCCAAAATAAAATCGACATTGTCAGGATAGTTAAGAAAAGTGCATATAGAGAAATATTTTTGGCTAAACAATAATATTAAATCAGAACATGCTGAAGGTTTGCTTAGGCTACTTGTATACAACAAAAAGAAATTAAAATTAGCAATTTGGATAATATAATCTTGGAATTGCAGTCTAAAATACAAATACACAGAAACCCCCCCCCCACACACACACTTATGAAACAATAAAATTATCCAAAATTGGCCTTTTTTCCTGTTGCAGCTGACTGAAGAAGGTGTGATCAGGAACATCACACATTGGACTGTCCTAACCTTCCATAACTCATCTTCAAGGAATGGAAGTGCTCTTATTCTACCTCCATTGGATCCAGCTGATGTGCCTCGAGGACCTTGCTGGGAAACAACTGTGGGAATAGTAAGTAAATAAAGGCAATTGTGTTGTATAGTGCTTCAGAGAATGTTCTGATTCAGTCAAATTAATAGTAAATACAGTCCATGCACTTAAGAATCATTTAATAGATTCTGAAAACAATTATCAGTCTTTAAAAAGTCTATTACAAAAGCTAAAGGAATAAGATAAATGATCAAACATTCCTCTAACATACCTTCTCCACCTTTACACTATATTGACATGAGTATATATATTGTAGATATATAAGGACATCATATAATAAAGGCACCTCATACTTCATCATCTAGACCTCTTCTGTGTGTACATCTACTATGTTTCATCCTATCACAACAGCTGCTGTTTTCTTTTAAACTGGAAACATTCTATTGTAGGTACAGTCTTTCTTATTGTCTCTCTCTCTCTCTCTCTCTCCCCCTCTCCCTCTCTCTCTCTCTCTTGCCTCCATTCAAAACCCAAGAAAGAAAACCCCCAACTCCATTGAAGTAGAAAAGAGGCACTTTTGCTGAGTTTGAAATGATAGTGGCAAAAGGAAAGCAAGATCTGATCCAAAAGGTGTGAAAGTTACATATTTAAAGTTTCCCCAAATCCCTCCCCCCAGGGACCCAGGCTGAATGTCCAATCCACGTCCTGCATAGTGTCAGAACACATCTTCAGGTACTTTCGTCCATCTGGAGTTCTAGGATGGCTGGCCTTGACTGGGTGTAAACAACTCCATTCAGCAGTGCAGTAATTCTTGAGAGCAAACCTCCCTTTTAGTTCACATGGGCCTTCATCACACCAGCTCACTTTCCAAACCCCAATGCCATGCCCCACTCCCCCTCGTTACTATGGCAGCCGATAGCAAGCATGCATCATGCTGGAGATCCAGCTGACTCTCCCTGTCTCTCTCCATCCCTCCCGCCCTCCCTCTCTCTCCCTCCCTCCCTCCCTCCCTCACTTCCATTCCATTAGAAATTCAACCTTCTACATACTTCTTCAAGCAGTTTGAAAGCAGGCTTTTGTTGGTCTAGGCTGGAACACTTTATTTTGTGACTAAGTAGCCTTGTAAACCATGACTTCACAGGTGAAGGAACAACCCCTTAACTGAGATAATAGGTGTCCTACTACAGTGTTTCTTAAACTAATCTCCTGGAGGTCCCCTAAGATCTCCTCATGGGTCCATGAAATCATAATAGAGGTTGTGTGAAAATGGAATGGAAAAGTAAATGAGAGAGTTGCACTTGGGCAACCAGCTCAGAAGTCACTGAACAAAGCCATGTGTTAGGAGGTGCCCATACTCGACTGCTTAGGAAAAGCAGATCCTCCCGGACCCCTTTTTGTTCCAAAAACTGATGGCTGTGTTCCCTACAAAAGGAGGTGCCCATGCTCTATGAGGGAACTAGAATCCTTCTGGATATTTTTTTTTTTTTTGTCCAAAAACTGATGGCTGTAGCCATCTAAGCCAAAGTGAACTCCACATCTGAAGGGGAACATGGGAAGTGGTAGCTTGAGGGTTATGACAGGAGTCCCCCTTGAGATTTGCTCAAGGCATGGGACAAGTGGCAGATGCCCGTCCTGGCTGGTAAGAAGAGGTGAGCAAGGAAATTGTGTAAAAAGTGGGCTTTGCTCAGGAATGAAGCTGGAAAACTAATTTGGCTAAATAAAGGTACTTAAAAGAAAAGGGAAATATATAAATAGGAACATTGGAGGTTTATTTCTTTGTTTTTCTCTCTCTCTTCCTCTCTGTCTTCCATGCAACCACATGATATTTTTGTTAAGATGTTTGCCTTCCCTAAATTTTTTTTTTGAATAAAAGGTTTTTATTATTTTTTATAATCAAACAGATAACATTTTCACTTGTATATTTAAACATTTATAAACCCTTCCACCACCCCTTCCCACCCCCCTCCCCTGACTTCCCAGAAGAAAAACAGGGTATAAATTTTATCAATCATATGCTAAAATATGCTAAATTAATGCAAGACTATAATTCCCTAGATCCCTTAACTCTCCTTCTAGAGATTATTCATCAACCTCCCTTTAAACTCAAAATAATATATAATCCTTTAGACCTAAGAGTTTTTTTAAAAACATTAACAAACACTAATAGATCATTCAAAGCCTAGAGTTCTCATAATACATCTGTAAGAAATTCTTAGTTCATTTTCTTAATCATTTTACTCTCCCTCCTACTTTTATTCTCAAGATTCAAATATTTTTTCTTAAACCTTAATTAATCATTAATTGAATTCTTAATTCATTTACTTAATCATTGTAATTAATCATTTAATACATCAGTTATTAAACCAAAGAAAATTAATCTTCCCTTCTTCCTTTCTTTCTATATTTTTCCAATCTTTTTTCCTCCCTCTTGCTTTTATTTTAAGGAGGTTTTGATTTTCAACTGGGGGTTGATGTATCTTTAAAACTTGCCCCTTTCTTAGAATCATTTCCTCTGATTTGGAGCCCCCATATCGACTCTTCTTGCTTATATAATCAGTCAGTCCATAGAACAAAGAGTTAACTCGATGAGTTTGCAATAAAAAGTCCAGTTGTTGCATTTCAATTAATTGTGTGAAAGCCTCTGCCAAATCTTCCGAAACCTCATAAGGCTGATCAGTTTCTTCTTCTTTTTGCTCCAAATTATATTTTTGAAGAATTCTATCAGTTAATTCCACAAGGGCAGGAAAAAAGTTTGAAGATCCTTGAGAGTCAGCCAAATCCAGCTTCTCTGTTTTAATCAAAATGTCTCCTTCATTGTCTTTGTGCTTTCCTTCAAAAACATCCTCATTTGCTTTTAAATCCTCCTTCAGCTCTATAAACTTTCGTTCTATGATTACTGTAAAGTTATTAATAATTGCCATTTGATTATTCATGGCTTCCTTTATAAGTTCTGTAAGGTCTCTGAAAAAATCCTCTTGGCTCTGTGAATCAGTTCTCTGTGTCATTTCTGACGCCATTAAAGAGCTTCCAGCACTTTCAGAAACTCCTTGCTTGGAAGCCATATTATTTTAAGAAAATTTTTCTTTTCAAACCCAAAACATCTCTTAAGCAACTTTCTCCAATTTAGTTGTAGTTTATCAAGCAAGATCGTCTTTTCTACCCCCAGCTCTCAAATCCCGGCTGCTTAAGTCTAGTCTCTAAGTACACATCTATTAACAAGCACTTAGCTTTCACTTTCAGTCCAGCCATAATAAAGACGCCATTCCTCCTTCAGCTCAGCGAAATCAAGTAGAAACATTGTATCCCAGGAGTTAAGCAACATACTTGCAAAGACTTGTTCTCCTGCTTCCGTTCTGCCTGCTTTTGGAATCAATTAATCTCCTTGTTGACAGCAGAGTTGGTCACCGGCATCTAGCTCCATTTAAAACGGAGTCACCATGGATCCAGAGCTTCAGTGGGCTGAACGGGGAGCTCTCATCCTCCAAGCCCCTGGAATTGCTCCAGGGGCTCCTGGGGAGCTCTACCCTCGCCCACCGGCTCTCCTCTCCTTCTTCTCCCGAAGGAGAGGTTTTCGAGCCATCTGACAGCTGATTAGCACTGTCAGAACGGCTCCAACGGAATCACGGGGCTGGCGGTCTAAAAAGACCATCCGCGACACTGGCGGTGCCAACCGCCTTCCCTAAATTGAGTTAACTGAGATTTATGGTAGGAATGACCAGGGTGTAAACCTGAGAGTTCTGCTGTTTTTTTCTTTCTTTTCCCTTGTCTCTCTGTGTGTATCTTTGTATCTAAGTCTTCAGGTGTTAGATAATTGTAACTGTTAAATTGTTAAAGAATTTTAAATTGTTAGAGGGAAAAAAAGAGTTAAAGCAATGAAAAGAAAATGCCTTCAGCCTAGTTTGTCTGGCCAACAAAATAGGGTGAAGAGAACTTTGTTCACTTTTTTCCCATTCCCCCTCTATACCTTTAAGAAAAGCCCAATGTTTTGAGGGAATGTTTTAAGTTCATTACAAGAAAAGATTCATTCTTACTTACATTTACTGTATGTGTTTAAGTGGTTTTATCTGTCAGTCCTTTTCCTGAAGTATGTGAATCCAGCTCCTTTTTCTCATCTGTGATGTTCCCATTTTATTGTAACTGGTTTATCTGTTTAACAACTGCAGTGCTGAGGTTTTTTTCTCAAACTCTGCCTGCAAGTTATCTAGCCACCACCACTCCACCTCTCCATCTCTTATCCCAGCGGTTCTCAACCTGGGGGTCGCGACCCCTTTGGGGGTCGAATGGCCATTTCACAGGGGCCGCCAAAGCCCTCTCTCGCCCCCCACGCCTTCACTCACCCTCACTCTCTGCTCTGTTGGATCACTGGCCGTTCGCTTACCCTGCCCACTCCCAATCTATTGCTGCCTCCTGAGTCCCAGCTGATGGCTAGAGGAAAAAAAACTGTTTAAATTCTTGCCACGGGGCTTCAAAGGGCCACCCTATAGCCAGTGGTGGGATTCTGCCGGTTCCACCCCTCCCCTTGCCCCGCCCTTCCGCACCACTATTTATTGCCAATAAATAGTGGTGGGTGAGGGGCAGGCGAGCCAGCAATTTAACAAATGGTTCGGTGTTTTTTTGTAATTTTATTGGCCCACGGAGCTTCAGCATAGGTTAATTAGCCCTTGATTAGATTGGCTCCCGACTCTCAGCTGATTTACTCTCAGCTGTTTTGCTCAGGGCTCTGCTGCTTGCTGGAGTAGATTTTTTTTCCCCTAGCTACGCTGAAAAATGAAACTGAAAGTAAAGCAGGCTGTTGGCTTTGCTGTTGCTGCAACATTGGAAAATTAGGCAGGCAGATTTCTTTTCTTTTTCCTCACCAAAAAAGGTAGGTGCAAACAATGGGAAATTTAGGGAAAAAGAGGAGAGTTCAAGATTTTAAAACACAAAAGAAAAAAAGCTCTATTTAACTAGGAATTGTAATAATTGAGATAGTATTAATTGTATATTTCTGAAAGCAGAAATGGTTAAGTTGTGGTTTGGAGGAATATATGGGGGAAATTATTTGGTTTATTATTATTGGTAAATATAATTAATTGATTTGT